CCCTCGGTGGTCCTTGGCCGTGGTCGCATCACTCCAGTCTCTGCTCCCACAGTCACATGGCCTCCTCTGTGAAACGGCTGCCTCCCTCTTACAGGGACACAGGATTACGTGTAGAGCCCAGCTGGCTAATCCAGGACACTTTCCTCTCTGCAAGACCCCTCCCAAGATCCATGGAGGGTTATTCAGCCCACCAATAGCCACTGAGGATTTGGGGGAGAAAATTGGCAAGACCTGATTTAAAGGAATACCAAGGCGACTTAAACTCCCCCCTCCCATGCTGAAATTGTATCATATGGGAATGTGTAGCTAAATGTGACCCCAAAAGCTTCAGAGCTGCTGCCTTTAAAGGGTGCTTTTTTGGAGGATGCAGAAGAGTTAGTAGGGTTTTCGGTAGGGTTTTTTATTTTTTGGTTGTTTTAAGAAATTTAATTGGGGAACAGTGTGCTTTTCCAGGATTCATCAGCTCCAAGTCAAGTTGTTGTCTTCAGTCTAATTGTGGAGGGCGCAGCTCAGTGACCCATGTGGGGATCAAACTGGCAACCTTGGTGTTATGAGCCTGCGTTCTAACCACCTGTGCTACCTGGCCGCCCCAGTAGGATTTTCTTTAGTTTTATAGAAGTACAGCTTATACTGACGGCGCCCAGGTCAGGAAACTGAACCTTTCCAGCCCTCCCCACCGGAAGGCGCCCTTGTGCCCCCAACCCCCAAAGGTAGCCATGATTCTGACCCATCATCACATACTGTCAACAGCTCTCTTGGGCTGGGTATTTCTGGAATGTAGGGAGAAACATATGCATTCTCCTGCTTCTGGAAATTCTGTCCCTAACTCTAAAAGGGAGGCTTCTGCCAGGGCCAATGAGGCCGGATGGAGGCGGCAAGCCGGCAGGGCAAGGAGCACAGCACTAGCCCAGTATCCTAGAAGCCACCGTCCTGCCCTGTAGGTAGTGGGAGCTCCGCGGGGCTGCTGGTGGCCGAGGTTTGAGTCAGGTGTCAGCCCACACTCAGGTATCTGAGGGTGGGGGCCCCTTTGTGATGTCAGCGCTGTGCTATGGCCCTCATGGCCCGGCCACCTCCCCCCACTGGCCTTCCCTCCTAGTCCAGAGAGACAGCCAGAGCTGGCAATGGGTTCCCGCTGTGCCAAGCTCGGCACGGGCCACAGCCGGGGCCACGAGTCCTCCATGAAGAAGCTTGTGGCCTGCGTGAGTCAGGATAACTTCTCCTTGTCGTCAGAGGGCGAGGAAGAGGAGGAAGGCGAGGAGGAGGAGGAGCGTGAGGAGGAGGAGGCAGCAGAGGAGCTCCCGGTCCAGGGCAAGCTGCTGCTGATGGAACCTGAGAAGCAGGAGGGGGGCCCTGACCGAGATCGTGAGGCCCAGGAGAA